GTAATTTTTTACCATATATCAGAGAAAATTGATAATGTCCTCATTCAATTTCCATTGGCCAGCTTTCATATCTGCTGTGACTTCAATATCCAACATAAAGAATGTCTAGTCTACTCTAACAAAATCAATGTTGAAAGCAAATATTGAACTAACCCAGGTTATTGGAGGACCTACCCAGGTCCCAGACTTGATGGATCATCAAATAAACCTCAACCTCTTCCTAACCTCCTTCCCTGCTAAATGTTTAGCAAAAGTTCTACTGCCACTAGGCACATCAGACCATTCCCTTATGAGTGTCCAGATTTATGCCAAACTTAAGGTATACCATGATGTACCATTCCATAGAATAATTTTTTGCTATAGGAATGCAGACTGGGACAGCTTTCAATCCTACATGATGGAAACTTTCCTACCAAACTTCAAGCATATTATATCCAAAACTGCTGACCTCATCACTGATTGGATCATTTAACCCCCCCCAAAATTCCAGCAAAAATCAAACAGCCATACCTGGTTCACACCTGAATGCATTATGGCCATAACCCACTGAAACCACTGCTTCAGTATCTATTGTAAAGAGAAATGTAGTTCAGCTCTTGCTGCATGCATTTAAAACTGCCAGTAATTGATGCAAAAAAGTTCTTGAAAATGTTAAGTGCATTTATACATGAGCAGTTCAAACCAAGGTTGAAAAGAAACAAATTGGATCCCATGAATTCTGGAAGATCACCAACCAAATTATGAACAGAGGCAAAGTTGCTGTACCCACAATTATAAATGGCCCACAGGTCATATCCTCTTTGACAGACAAGGCAAACCTCTTCACTTGTATCTTTGCCTCTAACTCTACATTAGATGATAAAGGCCATCCTCTCCCCAAGTTACCAAAGTCTCACTGAGCACACTCTCAGTAATATTACCATCACAGCTCAAGAAGTTTCTTGACTTATCAAAGGCCTCAGCTCTAAGAAAGCCATTAGCCCAGATAAAATTCCAGTTCTTAATATCAACCCAGAATTATCCCCAATCCTAGCAAAGTTATTCAATTGCTGCTTGAAGGGGATGTCTTTTTCAAGCCTGTGTCAAGTGGATGCCCAGTTTTCAAGAATACAGGCATATGATCTTCCCCCTCCCAGTACAGACCCATCAGTTTACTCAGTATCATCAGTAAGCTTTTTTGAGGCCATAATCAATAGAAAAAATCCTCAAGCATCTAGAAAAGCACAACCTCTTCTACGACAAGCAGTATGGGTTTTGGTTGGCCTGATACATTGCTGATGTCCTAACTACCATCACTCACTCCTTGGACCAACCCTCTTTCTGATTTATATAAATGATCTGCCTAAGAATATACTCATATCATTTGTAAATATCTATGCCAATGATATGACTATATATGGGTGAACCTTTAAAACTCAATGACCACAGATTGGTGGCTAATCTCTCTTCCAATCTTGTACAAACTACCCAATGGGGTAAAAATTGGCTGTTTATATTCAATGCCTCAAAGACCAAGCTAGTTACATTCCATCATCGCTGATCTGACCCTGAACTACCACCAATCAAGGTGAATGGAGTTTTCTTCTCAGGGAAGCGTTGTGCCTTGAAAGTGGAACGCCTCCATATGATCTGTTGCTATGGATGCAGGTAAAATGGTTGGCTCTCTGTTATGGTGTAACAAAAGAAATGAAAGTAAACAATGCAAAATAAAACAAATGCTGAAAGTTAATCTTCGTTTAATTTATTTAGGTTAACCTAAAACCGTTAGTCAGAAAAAGGAAGTCAAGTTTAGGGTGATTTTGATTAAAATGTTGGTATATTAAGTCTACATAAACAGGAGAACAGAATTTAAAATAACATATATAAGAGCCTGAATGAAAATACATAAGACTTTCTGATATTGGTTGAAAGAAGGCAAAACAAAAAGAGAGGTAAATTTTCATTTAACATCCGAGCGTCATTCACTGCTGAACTATTTTCTTTCAGAAATTAGTATGCGCTTCTGTAAAGCTATTTTTTTGTACTTAATTTAAGAAGAAAGTTAACAAATATATGTAAACATTGACAAATAAAAGAATAACAAAAGAAAAAAATTCACCTAACCCTAATTTGAAAGTTAACTTTCTTCTTAAAAAAATAAAAAAAATAAAAGAATAATCAAAAAAAAAAAGAAAAGACACCTAACCCTAATTTGAAAGTTAACTACAAGGAATTACTGTGAAGGAAGTAAATAGTCCCAAATTGTATACGTCCACCAACAAAATTCAGCACTGAATTACTTATCAATAAGCCGGTAATCGCTGATGAAAGACAAGGAAAAAAACAATTTTTTTCAGTTCGTTAACATCTAAAAAGCTAGGTTTTTTCAATATCTAATTGTTAATTTGAGTTCGGCATATACATTTACATGGAAATAAGACTATTTTGGAAAAATTTGAAGGGATATTAGTGCTCGGCTGTTAAAATGAAAATTTACCAAAATAGAAAGATTAATGTAGAAGATAAGGTAGAAGATGTTTACTGGGGAATATGTTTCTGTTGTGAATCTTGAGAAACACACGTCCTAACTGTAGCATTTGTTTTTCAAATGCTTTCAAGGCATATATTTTGGGAGGGAATTGGTTTGGTTTGGTTTGGTTTATTTTGTTTAACAGCATATCAACCTCAATGGGTTATTTAATGCCGACAACATTTTTAGGATAGATTTGTATGAATAGAATATGTATTCTTTGGTTCAGATTGGTTTAGTTTAAAAAAAATACAAAATTTATTAAGTGCTACAAAGGACAGGAAATTGTGGAGAGTCATAATTGCCCACGTTCTGAGGGAACAAAACACATAGAGGAACATAATATTTATTTTTCATTTCAGAGTATAATATTTCAATTTGTACACTGAAATATATTTTGCATATAATTTTAGTTAAATAAATGTGTTTTTGTTATACACATGTACAATTTAGTGTAAAATTAGTAATGTATTAGAGTCATAATCAATTATCAAGTTAACAACCATAATATATAAGAAACAGCTAACCATTTAATATTAATGAAAAGGAAAAACTATAACCTATGAAGGGCCATAACATCTTAGATACCTTAAAACCACATGCACTTATTCCTACATCCCATCCATTTACCAAAAAGTTTGTAAAATCTTCTTTTGGGATTGCTTTGTTGTATTCTCCTTAATCTCGTCCACACTCTGAAATCTCTTCCCTATCAACAGTAATTTTGGCTTTGCTTAAAAACAGAAGTTACATCAATTCAAATCTGGGTTGTAGGGTTTGGTTTGGTTTATTTTGTTTAATGGCATATCAACCTCAATGGGTTATTTAATGCTGACAAAAATTTGAGCAGCTTCTTCCCGCAGATCATTGCTCTGTGGAATAGACTCCAAACAAGACGTTTCCCCGGATCACTATAATCTTAACCTATTCAAGGCTAGGGTTAATTATCTCTCTCACTTATACACACAAATAGCCTCCTAATGTAACCTGCTACCTCAAGTGGCCCCCGGCCTTGTAAAGGGGGTGACTCTCACAAAAAAATATATTATGGGTTATTTAATTCCGAAATCTAAATATTTTGAACATTTTGTGATGTCAACAAACACTTGTTGCCACTTTTGTAATGCTCGTTGTAGTAGAGACTTTGTAATCACAGATAACACTATAGTAACACTGTTGAACAATACTGGTGTCAGATGCCTTTGAATAACACTTGCACTAATAGTACTTGCTCAATAATACTCACTCAAATAGTAGCCACCAAATAGTAATCTGTATAGTGATCAGTATAGAGAAATAGTATAGAGAATAGCAATCTGTATAGTAATAGAGGCTAGTGTAGAAATAGGGATCAGTTAGATGGCATGCTAATTCCTGTATATACATTTCCTTTACCATCACGTGATCTACCTATTCAAAAATGGGATTGACTGCGTTTGCTCTCTGGTGATCTGTGTTCAAACTCCAGTGTCGGCAATGACACTTTATTCCTATATAACAGAACACTATTTTATTGCTTAGATGTATTTTGAATGCAATTGTATACTTTCAACTAGATAAAATGAATTGCTGATTATTTTACGATTAAAATTCATTTTTAGACTTTCATAGTGTCTTGTTTGTGGGGAGGCACTATTTAATCATAGCTGGGACCTCAACAAATGCTATGATCCCGGAAATAACAGCAATTAAGAGGTGGTTCGACACTCCTCAAAACCATCAATCTCCTAATCAGAGGAATGCTGCCAGAAGTAGTTTATCATCATACCCAGGACTCTGATTCAGTGAAAGAAATGATCAGCTGATGCCTAAGGTAAATAAAACTGGTGAGTATTAATTAATATAAAATAGGCGTGTAAAATGGAATTAAAATGCTATATAATCCAATGGATTAATAAACTGAGCACCGACAAATGACATGACAGCTGACAAACACCAACAAATGCCAAGAAGGCTGACAAACATCAAGAAATGCCAAGGGGGCTGAAAAAAAAAACAACAAGAAATGCCAAGAAGGCTAACAGACACCAGGAAATGCCAACACTAAAAGGCACATTCTTGTTAAGATAGCAAAACACTTCACTAGTTATTTTGTATAAAGTGTTAGGCTATTAAGAGATATCATTTTAAAACAAAGGATAACATATGAATAAAGGGTGAAATAAAATGTTAAAAGACATGAAAAGATTCTTAAATTGTTCTGGTGACATGAAGAGTGGTAAAAATATGAACTATGGCTGCATCATTTTTAATTGTTTTTTTTTTTTTTTTTTTTTAGAAAATTAAATTTGGAATCCAAATCGGTATTGTCAATCTGTATAAATCAAACTGGTCTAAAACCAGCACAACCTGTACAAGGATAATTTTATGAACATTGATAATATAATAAATTTCTTCTCCATAATGTTCAAACTATTGATGAAAGCTTCTCTAAAACTATGTCTAATAACAACAATAAAAAAGTTAGTATTGATAAACAGAAGATCTTTACTTTGATCTAGCTGGTGACACACACAGTTGGTGGTTGTCTGGGACAACACCTTTTCCCATTGGGGTGGGTAGAAATGGAAAGCCAGTTGAAGTAAGGAACATGAAAATTTCTGTTTCAGCTCTGGCATATGCAGCTCCTGAAGAGAGTAAAAATATTTTTCTTTTTATTGAAAGAACAATCAGAAAAAACAAAAACAAAACTATATATTAGGTAATTGAATGAAAAAGCCAAAAAGATTTTGTGCAACAGAAGATTTGTTAAGAAAGGTAAAATGTAAGAACCTAGACAAATTTACCATGGAAGATTCAGAAATCAGTGCACTTTCTATGCATTCTCTCCCTTAGTAAATTACTATTTTAATCAAAGCAGCATCTTTTAAATTGGAAATAGGGTCAGATTTATTATGATGAATGACTAATGCATTGAGTTTGTTGTTTTTACAACAAATCTCTTGTGTTCATAAATTTTTACTTAAATTCCTTGAAGTCTCTCCTTTGATTTTTTGTGGCAATCATTACATGTCAGTGTAAATTCCTGCTTCAAGTTTTAGAGCGTTATTTTGTTTTGTATTAATTAAGTCACTTTGAGGATAAAACATATAGAAATTTTTCAACTTTGTCATACATTTGCCAAACATTTTTCTGATATACACAAATTAATATCATATTTTCTAATCATATATATATATATATATATATATATATATATATATATGTGTGTGTGTTAGTTTTTGTTTAATGAGGTTTCTCTAGAATAAGCTGGTATTGTGTTCCATGTTGGCTGCCAGGTCATGTAATTTAATTGATGCGTATTTGGGTAGCAACCTTTCTTTCATGCATCTTTCATTGAAAACGGCTGACAAGGAAGATTTAATTAATCTTTTGTTAAATTTTTTCAGCATTCTAACATTTTACTGGAGTTAAGGAATATATGAATTGTCTATAGTTATAATTTTATCCTATGACTTGTAGCTTTACTTTTTCCGAACTAAACTAATTCAACAATTCTTGTTGACAACTTGATCCTTGCCAGCCTTGTGATCTAATTCAAACACAAGGTGGGACAAGGCAGGGATTGGATTGAAGTGATCCATTTAATGGTCAGTCGCAGGGATTGAACATCGACTGGATGAACATCGACATCATAATTGATGCCACTGACCATCGGATTCACCCAGAGTTGTCTATGACCAACCAAAATGGAACGATCCAGCAGGTGAAAAAGAAAGAAAATGGAAAAGAAAACAGTGAAAAGAACCAAGAGACTTTTGGTCAATTTCTTTGACCATACAGTTTTATTAATCCCTCTACATTTCGTAACTGCAGGACAAGTGACAGGTATTTTCAGTTTTCTCTGAATTTTCTCATTTTCTTCTTGTCTTGCCAGAAATTCTTTTGTTATTTTATCCAGATTTCTTCCAATTTGCTAGTATTCAATTGGGGATATACTAGTTGAGAGAAATGAGTGACCATGAGTCAGAAGAACTTGAAAGGGTAGAGGTCAAAGATGAGGTAGTTAGGCCTCAGGTAACAACCGGCCTGAGAGAGCTACTGGGGGGGGGATCCAGAGTTTTAGCCTTTGGTGGGAGCCTAATAGAGTTGAAAAACTGGTTAGTGTCTATCAGGAAGAAGGAAACTGTTTATTTGGCATTCAGCACAGAAGAAGGACTGGTCTCAAAATTTATTGGGGGGGCTCACCTAGCGAGAGATCCTCAGGTAGGTGAATATGTGGATGAAGGAATGGCAGTAGAGGCTATGAGAAGCCTCATGAAGCTGGCCCAAATGAAAGGTGAATCTCCTGGAAGTGAGGGCTGAGAGATTAACTTCCCTGGCTTTTCCTGAAGTAGTTAGGGAAAATGTTGCCATACAAGTGCACTTGGCTGACCTGTATGTGGAGACACTCCAAAATGAGTGTATAAGGCATGACCTAGTTAAGGAGGCCCTGATCAAACTGTTGGTGGTTATTGCATTAGCTAAGGATAGTGAAAGAATTTTGGAAAAGATGAAAGGCAAAGGAGCACAGGTGCAAGGTCGAAAGGTAGGCAGGGGAAGAAACTCCCCTCCCCACATGGAATAGGAAGGTGAAGCAGGAAGAGATAGACCCAGAGGTATGGGAAGAGGTTCTTAATAGAGGTAAATGGACGTTGGGACATGGATTTTATAAACCCACACGGGCAGGTTCAGGCTGGTATGCTGGACATGTCATTATTAAGGCCACAGGGCAGTGAACTGTCCAAGAAAATGGCATTTACAATGGGATTTTGATGAACCAAGATGCACTAGGTGTGGGTCTCATGGCCATGAGACAAAATAGTGTGGGATAAAGAAGAAATCCCTAGAACACTCCAACAGATACACCCCCAGCAGACAGGGCCAGGTAAACACCCAGGAGCCACTCCAGCACAAGAAGCAAGAGGGACGGTCACCCATATAATAAGAAAAATAGAAGAACCATCACTGGATGAGTCTAAAGCAGAGAACCTAAGTGATGAAGTCTTGGGTTCTGGCTTGAAACCTCCCAAAGACAGAAGAACTGAATGATTGGGAAGAGGAGGATGAAATACCTCTCTCCAAACTCCAAAAGCAGTTGAAAGAAATAAAATTCAATGAAGAAAGAAGTTGGGAACAGAATCAAGAGAGAGAAGTAATGGCCCCTGTGAAGAAATCCAGTTACAGTAGTAATGGCTAGAAGCAGTGAGAGAGGAAGGGAGAGATAGACTTCATTAGAGAGTGAGTTACTTACTGACTGCTGATAAAGGCTCAACTTAATGATGGAAAAAGTTTTTTTATTGTAAAAAGTCTTTGTTATTATTGAGAGGAACAATCAGAATGTTTTTTTTTTTTGAGGGGGGGTAAATTGAAATCAGATTTTAGAAGGCAGTAGTGATTTTTTTCTTTCATTGCTTGAACAGAGGGGTGGTGTTTAGAGAATTACTTTATTGTGTTAAGAGGCGTAGATATTGATTGTTGATTGATTATTGGATAAATTCGAACTCAGTATCACTGATAAGATTGATTTTCAACATGGACCACCCTGTTGCTGTGTGTGAGGATGATATGGTGTTAGCCTGCAAGGTCGCCATGATGTGAGGTGTTTTTAAGACACAAGAAAAGAAATATTGGCTTGATATCGTGGATTTAAGTATGAGGAACATTTTAGTAATAGTGGCTTATTACTAATGAAGTGGATTGTTTGGCTTCGATGAATGAGCCAGGAAATTACAAGTGTACAAGTATCACGGAAATGATTACAGTGCACACTAAAGTGTAGATTGTCTGGAATCGTATTGATAGTTAATGGTGCTAATTGAAACCTTAAAAGTAAGAAGAATGGTATAGGTGGAGTCAGTGCACAAAGACGTTGGGTTTATAAAAGTAACCCAACAAGTAAAATAATAGTAGTAATTGGTTGGAGAGGACCAGAGGTGTGGATAGTGGGTCACAGAGGGCAGAATAAATTACTTGTTGGTGCTGTCATTGGGTTGCACGAGGGCCCAGTGATGTTATCGATCAGACAACCTTTAGGACGAAAGCACTGCACCTCTGTCTAAAACCAATCAATTTACTAAAGGTTGGTTAAAAGAAAAGTTGGAAAATGGAAACTAAGAGAAATAAATAATGAAACATTCCAAAATAAGTGAGTATAAAAGTAAGTAAGCTATGGGTGGTCAGAAAAGTAAAACAAAGAAATCTTGTTACCCTTGCAGGGATGGATGGTATGAAGAGGCTGATACTGATGATGATAGAAGCCTGGAGACAGAGCCAGAATATGATTTTCAAGAAATCAAGTGAAATGATAACAACAAAGTCGAAATGGTTAGTCACTTTTTCTGATAAATTTAAAACCATGAGTTACTACTGAACAAACGAGAGGGTGAGATAAACAAGCTGGGTGCAGCTGGAGTAAAGGTAGCACAGAGGTATACCAGAGAGGTACCTCAGGCTATCGTATTCCCTTGAATTGGAGACAGCCATAATGGAGGCCCAGTGAAAGGATATGAGGAATTATCTGAAAGAAATTGAACTGTTGCAAATGAGAAGAAAGAGAGCAGTAGTCCCTATTGTTGGAAAAGCACTGAGTGTCCTGTTTGGAACAGTGACTGAGGATGATGTCAAGGTTATAAGAAGGAAACTGGGTGAAGTAGAAAAGGATCAGAGAATCCTAGCCCAGGTAGCAAAGGAAAGTGTATTGATACTGAATGTAATGAGGTTAGAACTGGCAAAGAATAGAGCAAGTATCAATTGGTTGATAAATAACCTGAGGGAATTGAGACAGGAAATAGCTAATAATTTGGAGACTGTGACAGCTGAATTACAAGAATTAAGTGGTTTTGTACAGCAGTATTTCCAATTAATGACAATTACTAACTAGTCAATCCCTGACAATTTTGTTAGAGCATATGAGAGCTCAACTGGATATGTTGTCATTAGAACATTTGTCCCCAAGCATAACGACCTGGGTCACTTGAAGGAATTGTTATTGAGAATACAGGTTGAATTACCTCATCATTTGAGGTTACCAGTAGACCCCACCAAAGAGTTATGGAAATACTACAATGCAATATGTTTTGTTATAAGAAGCTATTGGTTCTGATGTCCATCCCATTATTGAACAGAGAAAGTATCTTTGAAAATATATCAAGTAATAAACTTACCCATTCCTTACCCCTGAGCAGAACAGGACTTAGAGACAGTTGCAAGATACTAAATTGAGATTGAGTATATGGCTTTGAATTCAGCTAGGACAAAATTTATGATGTTGATGACAGAAGAAGCAAGAAAGTGTCAGGTTGATGCTTTAGGGATGTATACCTCATTAAGTTTCATTTATGTGACAGGTAAACACGGGTTGTGTATGCTTGAATTGTTTAAAGGCAATAGAGAGAGAATTAAGAAAAACTGTCAAGTAGAGATATTGAAAAAAAAAAAAAAACAGTGTTGCCACAAGCTATCAGTATATCTGATGGAGTCTGGGTAGTAGCTGCCCAGAAGCAGATTGATCTGTCCAGGGTATGTGGAAGTGAACCCACCAAGACATTGAGGGTAGAACCCCATTGTCCTTAATAGAGCTACTGCTAGGAGGTTCTGCATTTGAAATATCCATTTCTCTTCCCCCATATCAGTCCAAAGAAAAGTA